TGCAAGTTGAAGAAATATTTATTTGGGAATAAAACGAAAGAAAGCGTCACGCTCGATTGCGTCAATTTCGTTACTCGAGGACTGTTAGTGATAGTCCTCTAGTAGAGTAGCCAATTAAAATGCAAGATTTGCATTAGTCCACTAGTTGGGTGATACTAATTTCGATTATTATATGGCTGTGTCTCACAAGGACTGGGAACTACCGAATTCACGAATTCACGAATTTGATTGGCTGAAATCGATATTGAACGCGGTCTAGATTTTCCCGTCTAGACCGGCATCTTCACCCGTAATGTTTTGCGGTGAAAAAGTTGCAAACTAAAATGCAAAAATATTCACTATTTCCTTCTAAAACATTTATTTATGGAAGTACCCAAAAACCTGATACGAAAAAAAGTAAAGAGGACGAGCAAACTTTGGCAGAATTAAGCTCGGCTCATCGCCGTTCGCAAGCAAAATGTCAGCTAGTACAAACCAGTTACATTAAACGAATTAAATTGTTCTTGTTTGCAGTATGATAAAAATCTTATTTGGGAGAATCTTGAAAGAAGAAGAAGATTCTGTTTGGGAGAGATGATTGCAACAGAGTGAGAGTGATTACTGTGTAATGTAATAAAAAGGAACGCCGAAAACGGTTGTATTTCAAATAAACGCGACTTCCTGAAAATCGCAAAAATTGATATCCAGCTCGAAAAATTAACCTTCCACAATCGCAAAAATCGGTCCCCGCAAAAGGTAAAAAATCGCCGATCCGCAAAATTAAATTCTCGCAAGAATTTCGTGCCACACGGTATTAGACACGTTGTATGGAATATTTTGTGTCAAATCTTACAATTAATAATGCACGTGTTTGTTTTTTCCTCGGTTTAACGCTGATTTGTGTTCTTGTGAACGTATTCTGTAGAAAAAGAAGTTTAAAGCAAATGTGTGTTTATATTTTTGTGATTTTTCACAGCAGCAGCCGACAGTAACAGGCAGCTCGTGTCCAAAGGTGAACTGGACTACATTGAGGAACGAGCTTTACTGGAGACTCAGCGAGAGACGGTCGGGAGATTGGGAACGATTCCGTTTTAGCGACGTGAAGAACGTGGTATCCCTGGGCTGGAAAATCTTTTAGAAGGAATGGCGCCTGGTCAAAGCCGAGACGTGTCGTTCGTCAAGGCGGGGAGCTGCAGTGACTAAAGACACACTAGACAGTCACAAAGAAAACTGAGGTTGTTACTGGGTCGACGTTTACAAAAAATTGACAAAAGAGAGCTTTAGCAATGACGACAATAAGGAATGATCTGTAATTCAGAGTAGAAAACCAACGTGTTCGGTGACGGTTGAGATTTTGGTGAGCTTTGTGACGAATAAAGGATTTGAGACGAGACTAGTGTTGGGTGAACTGGTGATTTCCAACGCGCTGAGGACAATGCCTAGTTAAAAAATGAATTTCTATTTTACCTTCGAATTTCGCATTTGTATAGATCTGTTCAGCGCGCCCATTGGTCGCAGAACTTCCTGAAGCTAAATATGTAATGCAAGCGTTAAAACCAAATGAAAATACGAAAAATTAGCCGCCGTCGTTCGCGTTATCCAAAATACAGAACTTAGTCATTTCACGTTG